ATCTATATCTGTGGTTTTCGTATCAAAAATAGCAAAAATATCATGGACATATCATCGACATATCTAAAATCTTCTTCATCTTAAATTTTCTAGTACACAGATTGATTTCATTTCCTCTCAGCAAAGAAAGATTCGAATAGTAGATACATTGATACGTAGACATAAATTTAAGTTAACACTTCGATATTCTACGACTTTTCAAGCGGATAAAAAGAACTCTAGAAGAATCCCAATACCGTACAATCCCAAGTACTTATACGAAGGGACTTGATAAGGTTTTCAAAGACTTAGGTTTTGAAAGCGTTTATCAGTCTGGGTCAAAATTAGGCAATTTATTAGGCAATCCGAAAGATAAAGTGGACACACTTGAAAAGTCGGGAATATACGAAATAAATTGTAATGATTGTGATAAAACATATATAGGCCAAACCAGGCGACCCATAAAAACAAGGTTCAAAGAACACATAGCCCATTTGAAATATGGCAGGTTAGATAAATCTTGTGTAGCCGAACATATGTTCAATCACAATCATAACACACATATTACTAACCTCAAATTAGTTAAGCAAGTTAATAACATCAGAAAACTAGACGCATATGAAAGCTTAGAGATATTTAAGAATAGTAATAGAGTAATGAATAAGGATAATGGACCTTTTCCATATAGCCCTCTATATAGTTTAGTAAAATAAAAATTTTGATTAACATGTGAACTCAACCATGACAAACATTAACTTGACGGTTAGTATTTTTCACAGTTGGGTGAACATATAACTAGTATACAAGCAGCACACTAGAATAGGATATTTAGTTTTAATCTTCTCCTGAAGATGCTAACATAGTTAGCGAAACACGTGTCGAGGCGTTAAAAAATCGGTTTGGTTTTAGTGGTAAAACAGTGTAGTGTATTATCGTGCCAAAGGTTCCAGTCTTCGATATATCATAAAATGAACCACATTGGTAGATTTCGGGAGATAAAGAACCACTTTTCTGGTTAATGCCACGCAGAACATTGAATTACATCCTCCCGAAATCTATGCATCGACTAGTATAAACGAATACTGATATAAATGATTCTTTCCTGAATGCCTATTGATACCGATTTAGCCAGGCCACGCTAGACACCTACAGGCCGGTTTTGAGCGTCTCGGCTCTCATCAGTGCAGGGCAGTCTCCAGCCAGCAGTCCCAAGACCACAGGCTAAGTGTAGCCTAGCCAAACAAAAATCAAGTCGGCATTATATTGCCTCAGAGGCGTCCTCTATGGGCAATGTGAGAGCAACGCCATCTGAGTAAAAATGAAGGAAAGAAACACTCCAAAGCCAAAATTCTCATACGGGAGTCGATGCATAGATGTAATTTAATGTAATTCAATGTTCTGCGTGGCATTAGCAGCTGTTTTTCTCCCCGAAATATACCATTGTTGTCCATTTCATGAACATTGTGTTGGAATGACTTTGAGCTTCTTGTATTTATTCAACATTTCATTCCACTGTGAGCATTGTGGCTAATATTTCGTTGTTGAAATTACGCAAGTCAAGCAAGTATAGCCACTCTCGTATGGGAATCTTGGCTTTGGAGTGTTTGTTTCCTTATTTTTTACTCAGATGGCGTTGCTATTATATTGTCTTTATGGAGGATGTCTCTGAGGGAATTTAATGCCGACTTGATTTATGTTTGGCTAGACTACCATTAGTCGGCGGTCTTAGGACTGCTGGCTGGAGACTGCCCTGCACTGATGAGAGTCGAAAAGCTCCAAACCGATCTGTAGGTGTCTAGTGTGGCCTGGCTAAATCGAAATCAATAGGCATTCGGGAAATAATCACTTGTATCAGTATTCGTTTATACGAGTCGATGCATAGATTTCAGGAGGATGTAATTCAATGTTCTGCGTGGCATTAGCCATCAGGAAAGTAGTTGTTTTCTCCCGAAATTTTCCATTGTTGTTCATTTTATGAACATTGTGTGAAAATGACTTCAAACTTGTTGTATTTATTTATATTATATTCCATTGCCGACCTCCCTCTACAATTCTAAGGCGTGAGAATGTATCACAAGTATCACAAGCTATATCTATCAAATGACTTTGATAATATTTCCATTTAAGAGGTTTTCCTAGTTTGCATCTGCAAATGACATTATTTCGACAAAAAATCATAACTTTCAAGTGAATTATAGGTAACCAATAATATTCGAGGGGTGGTTGAAGCGCACTGAAAGAGTGACCCTATATGTGGCAATACTTACTTGTCATAGATCCTATTGGCTGATCTATATTCGATTTTGATTCATAATACTATCACTATTGCCCCACTCTGTATATCGGTTTTATTAGAGAACATACTAAACAACTTCCTTAATTATCCCAATTTGTTAGTAGATTTGTGGAATGTGGAATAGTAAATTTTTCATCATTATTGAGACCTGATTTCCTATATTTCTACCATGAAATCAGATTTCCTTTCTCAGGTGTCTGGAGGTAGGTAGCATCTTTGAGAAAAAAAGTATATTCATTAAATTGTCATAAACTTTTGAAATGAAAGTGTAGTGGCATTAGATTCCTTGAGCTCGAGCTCAAGCTCTTGTGTATCATTTAATGATGATGAAGGACAAATCATCATTCCATATTAAAATCATCAAACATGGTAAAAGTTATCCAAACTTCATTAGGCAAGTAGGTACTGTTCTGAACAGAAACCCATCTTTTTTCCATGTTACAAGCCTGGATCGATCATGAATTTTTTTTATATTATTTTCCCTTATTTTCAAATCTTGAATTTTCTATATATGGGGATCTACATTGGGAAATATTGAAGATTTTACTGAAAAAAGTGTATCGCAGAATTCTGATATAAGAGTGTTATTGAAGTATGTGGCCAATGATTCCAAGACGAAAAGTTCATGTACCATTTGTCCGAAAGTGCATAATTTTCGAGATACACAGTGTCAAACTTATTAACGGAAATGCGATTTTTCTCAAATCTCTGACACCTTTTCTCTCGAATATACGGTGTATTTCCGGACCCATGTTACATGATCTTTTCGACTCATCAAAAAATCAACTCTTGAAGTTTGGTCACATACTTAAATAACACCATGTATTCATCGGGACAAATAGGTTCTCTCCAGATTTTGATATCAGTTTGAAAATAACTGCAATATCGCCAACAATCCTATTCTACTAATCTGATGAGACTCTGGAAAATGTATATATCTAATATAATTATTTGTACAAAGGGAATGATGAATTTATCAAATGAAATTCGATCCAAATGACATAAAGTTTGCTTGACTTAGGTGAGTTTGCATCAGCCAATATTATAGAACCGACTGGCCATATTGGTCACAATCGAAGAATTAACATCAGATATACATACCTATCCCTTATTTATAACCTATAAATATGGGTAGGTTTTCTGATGTGGTATTGAACACTCCAACTATGAGTACCTATACAAGTTGATTCGGATTCCTTAATTCATTTTGAGGTGAAAGTATGCCCTAAAATACATGCTCTCTGAGATATGATAGAAAAAATATTAATTCTATTTATATTGGTTGATCGATATGTAATTTTGTTTGATGTTTGACGTATATGGCCATATTTTCTTTCATACTCTCCTCATGACAGCTGAATAGACAAGTTTTGGAAATAAATTACATGAATCCCTATCGTAGATGAAAAACTTCCTTCCATCGACACTCCGTCAAAATTGTATAACACATTCTTCGACGAACCAGTATCTACTTTTTCAAGAACACCAGAAATACTCCTCAGATCTGCCGATACAAAATTTCCGGGACATTCCATTAGAATTTCTCCATTTCATAAATGGCTGTTCCTATCCTACTATATAAGGTTTGCAATGCCACACCAAAATTTTAATTCTGGAATTTCGGGATTTTGTTTACCTTATCCCGAGAATCCCGGAATTCCGAGATCGATTTCTATATTGTTTCCTGCATAATAAAATACATTTGTAAATATAAATACAAGGTACACACAATAAGACTTCATTCTCAATAAAGTGTTGTCTACAAGATTCTCTGTAGTCTATTCCATATATTAGCCGTATGGCCCTTTTCTGTGAGACAAATATTTTGCTGAGTTTTGACGAACTGCCCCAAATGGCAATATCATAAGGAATATGGGAATATACAACAGCTAAGTAAACATTAGGAGTTGAGCCTTATCGAAAGTGGACCTCAATCGTCTAATAGCATAGTACCCGATGTTCACTTTCTTACTGACATGATTTATACTCGACTCCCATGTCATGTTGCCATCAAAAAAAGTACCAAAAAATTTGGTGTTGTCTGATTGTTTGATTATTGCATCACCCACTCCAACATGAAGATTATCAATTTTTCTATAAGATCTGGAATAAAACTGCATCAGAACAGTTTTCTCTACATTCACCACTGAGGAGTTTTTGTCACACCAATTCGAAGCTCAAGGTATTTAATTTTTTTTGGGCTCCTCTGGGTTATCTGCAATCGATGTAATCGTTGTATCTGCATACAAAACTACATAATCTGAGCTTGAATAATTGGGCATGTCATTGATGAATAGAAGAAAAATGAGTGGACCTAATGTAGAACCTTGAGGAACCCCAAGATCAATGTCAAACATAATGGTTGAAATTGATTCAAGGTACATTACTGAATGATATATATGTAATATCTCGAAGAAGATGTATTTTAGGACAAACATTGATAGGGACTCTTCATCTAGAAATGAAGTAAGGAATCTGAATAGGTACGTAGTTCGTGGGTCTTAGTCTCACCCTGTATATTGATTTGATAGATTTGGCAATACTGCAGTGTATTAAGTAGCAGAGAAATATGCATCCTCTTACTCTCTACAATAGACATTCATTATACGAGTTGAATTCAATGTTTTTTCTTATGATCATAAAGTACACTAATCACAACAACTTTCAGGTTATTCGACACAAGTACTTAGGTTAACTTTCATACCCCCTGTATATCGTTACGTACCTCTGCATAGTGCTCCTCATTTTGCTGCAAAAGATCGACACAGAGTTCCGCTAAGTGTATGAGGTCGTCCAGCTTTTTGCTTGGCGAAACCATCGTCTCACCTCTCAAATCTTCTGTAAATGTAAAATGAGAACGATTTTGACATGGATCGCACCGTTCGGAATAGTTATTAACTAAATCATTTGCAGTTCGAAAAAGTTTCGTTTCTTTCATGTGGCTAGGGTTTCACGAGACTCTCGAAATTCGAGATTTCTCGTCTCGTCTCGTCTAGATTTCGAGACGAGATCGAGTAAAACACTTCGAGATTTTTTGAGATCGAGAAATTATTTCGAGATTTCTCGATCTCGAAAAAAATTGTGCGCTGCAATAACTCACAGCTCCAAATACAGTTGTATTCAATAAAAAGGCGTACAATGTATCAAAAAGAGAAGTCAACGTCCTCCTAGTTCTAGTTGTGTAAAACTGGCTCAGCCAATGCTTTGTAGTTTTGACAACCTATATATGACAAATGTCAACATATGGTGAAAAATCATTCTCGATAGCCCGTTTTACGCAAATAGGATGACATTAGCTTCTCTCTCTAATACTTGTACGCTATTTTTTTGAATAAGTACAACTGTACGCTAGAAAAAAGACAATGAAAAACTAAGCTAAAAAATAATTTCATAATTCATACATTAATTTGTGTTATATCGGGTTGTTCAAGAGACGACTGTTTCGATAATAAAAAATGAGTTTGTTGCAGGTGCTGTTCACAAACGAAGAAACACTTTCAAACATTCACTTTTCGTACCTAGGTAAATTTTAAATGTACCTATATGGATGAAAGATTGAATTCAAACATCAAGAATTCGTTCAATTTTCATTTTTTTTGGAATAATATTCTTTTTTTCTGGATGTATGACAAATTGATATTCATCATACAGGACGTGGAAAGAAATTCTGAATTGATGAAATAACAAGTTTACTTCGTACAAGTTTGAATCCCTTGATTTGGATGAAGAAAAAAATTTTCTCAGATGTATAATAAACTTTGAAAAATTTCATACAAATGCAAATTCTCAAATTCAGAAGATTTTATTTTCAAATTCTCATCGTGTTTGTTCAATAGATATAATTCAATGTTCGTCGTGGCATACAGCCAGGAAAGTGGTTGTTTTCTGTTGAATATACCGAGAAAGAATTAATATTTCCATCACATAGAGAATGCGATTTCTCAATGCATAACTTTAAATGCATCAATTTTTTTCATGCAATATATCTGAGAATATTCCTTTTCAATACAATATTTTTCCTTTTTTGCTGATGCTCGGCGGTTTGTTAGTTATACGTGGCTTCGAGTTCATGTATTAACATAATTCTTTTATAGAAAAAAAATAATAAACTGTATTTTGATTCAGCTCTGGCCTTGGCCTGTACATAGCATTTTTTAATAACATTCAGTTTTTGTTTCCGAGACTCTCGAAATTTCGAGAGTCTCGAATCGAGATCGAGAAATTGCCTTCGAGAAAAACATCGAGACGAGAGTTGATTTCTCGTCTCGATGATCGAGACGAGAAAGTGCCTTCGAGACGAGATTTCTCGTCTCGATGAAACCCTACATGTGGCATTCGAGCAATGTCAGTTAACATCCCAATAGTCGCGATAACATAATAGTAGGGGAGCTGATGTCAGTAAAAAACGACCAATCTGCCCAAGCTTCGAATGTCACTCATATGCGAGAACAACACGTACTATTAACATATTCAACTTTCTGCCACCCCAAATTTTGTTAATAAACAATCATTGATATTTCGAAATAGCTGAAAAATTTGACCGTTATGCACAACCTCCAAAATGTGCATGCTGCTTCTATTTACCAAAAGAAAGCATAACGGACTATTCTGCCGAGGCTGATCGACTCGTCGGAGAACCGTTCTGCCATGTTTTTCACTGTATATGGTTACTCACCTTCGATTTTGGCTTCAGATGATAGACGAGTGTAGTTTACTAAGGCCGCAGTTTCCAAACACTTTTTAATCATCCCACGGACTTCTTCTGGAGGCACTGGTGTGACAATATCTTTCATTAAAACTCTTTCCAATAACGAAAGAGTGGCTTTTAAAGCACCTTCTGGTCTACCGAACGGAAAACAATACCTGCAAAGAGAATCAGTTTTCAACTCTATCCAGTATTCAGTAGATTCATAATTATTATAATACAGAAGGGTGATATATTCAAGAGTGCGAAGAATTATTTCAAATAATCTCGAATGGAAGCGAAAATCTACATTAAATGTCTACATTAAATATCTACATTAAATGTATTTTTCTTGTTCTGGTTCCCACGAAAAGGGATATCCTGTGATAATCAGAGAACATCTTGAAAACCAAGGGAAATGAGGAAGAAATTGGTATTCTTCTTAAATTTCTGAAGGTTATATGCCTCGGGGAACACCTCCTTAGGCAATGTGTTCCAGAGCCTCGCTGTTCGTTGGATGAACGAGTCTTTGGAAAGATATGTTCTGCAGGTCTCCAAAGTGACCACGAAGGGGTGCGAAGACTCAACTCGACGGATTAATCTCGCGGGGACTGTCAAGGGAGGAACAATTTTTGAAATTTCAGAAGAGCATCGTCCATGAAAATGTCTATAAAATAGAGCCAGATCGCCAACTTTTCTACGGTGTTCCAGAGAAGTGAGTGAGTTTGTGAGCGTGGCATCACCCACTAGACGAATTGCCCTTTCTTGGACAGTATCCAACAGTTGCAGGGTATGTTTGGATGCTGCACTCCAATATGGGAACAGTATTCCAGGACAGGTCGGATCTGTGCCTTATAGATCATGAGCAGCTGACTGGAAGTGAAGTAGCTCCTGGCCCGAAACAGAAAACCAAGTTTTTGAGATTCACTTCTAGCAATCTCACGTGATTTTTCCAAGAAAGGTTATTGCTGATATAGTAATCCCAAGCATCGAAACGGATGTCTTCAAGGGTATGGTTACTCCTGACAAGCTTATGTTGGGCACCAGTGAGATCGGCTTTTCTAGAGAAAAGGCATGCTTGTGTTTTGTTTGCATTAAAATCTACTAAGTTATTGGATCCCCATTCGAGAATTGTTGCCAAGTCCATATTTATGTTGTCAACATTTCTCCCTCGTTCGTTTCTGATTTGCCAGGCTGGTATTGGAGCCCTGGAAGAGAAGGCGGTATGGAGGGTACTATCATCCGCGAAGCTGTGTACTGGACATGAAGTTGCTTCCAACAAATCGTTGATATGAAGTAGAAATAGTGTTGGTGATAGAATTGATCCTTGCGGAACACCAGCCTTTATGATAAGAGGGTCAGATGAAACTCCGTCGACCACTTCATGGAGAGAACTGTTTGAGAGAAAACTAGCTAGCGGAGATTGCAGAGAACATAGATCGGGAGGCAAGCCATAAGATGGAAGCTCGGCCAGGAGTCCGTGGTGCCAGACTCGATCGAATACCTTGGAGATATCAAGTGCCACGGCTAAGGTTTCACCTTATTTTTCAATAGATTGCTGCCATATATGTGAGACCTAAGCGAGCAGGTCACCAGTTGATCTTTGATGACGGAAGCCATATTGCATCTCGTTGATGATACTAGACCAGGTATTTCATGAGCTCGATTATGATAGCTTTCTCCATGATCTTCCTACCTCATAGTATGTTGGCGAAAGGTGATCTCGAGCATATGACTGTCAATTAGCGTTATGTTTGGGGGTTATTTTCCCGATGAATCCAAAGTAGAATTTTCAGCAAATAAATGCGCAAAAATGTTGGCTTTCTCCTGGGCAGTTGTGGCTACTGTTTCATCTTCCTTGGTTAGAGGAGGGAACGAGCTGGAAGTGAAGTTTCTTCCCACAGCTTTGGCGAAGGAACAAAATGAAAGGGATTGACATTATCATCCTTTGATGATCGAATTGTCTCATTGCATACATTAAATGTAGATATTGTGCCTATATTCCGAAAATGGAGGTTTGTCGAACATTTCCAAGCCAAGGTTAGTTTATTTCATTGTACCAGTATTTTACCTGATGAAGCTATACTGTGCTAGCGAAACATGTAGTACTGGTAGTACATATTATTATCTGCCGTCGTGGTACGCAAAAAAGAGTTGAAACGCGAATACAGATTTAAAATCAGCTCCACATAAAATTAAACAAACAAAAAGAGAACTCGACAAAATAAATGAATACATCGGAAAATACTGAATATAGAGCATTGGCGACACTGATAATATTGTAGAATAATGTAGAATGTGAATCATAATCAATCAAATTACCTAGATAGGTATCTCAGTGAGGTTGGTAGTGTTGGTACTTGAAGTTCTAGAAAAGGATTTTGTGGTAAACTACTCGAAAAGGTTGAGAATATTCTTATCTTTAGCTTCCAATTTAAGGAACACTAGGCGAAGTGTTTGCATCTTTTCGAAAGTAAAAACATATATTTCAGTTGAAGCTGATAAGAATATAACGATACGATGCTGACTTTGATGGTGACACGACATAATATGGATCTTACCTGAAATTAGTTATTTGATTCTCTAACAATATACGCAAGCGCTCTTTGACTTCTTGAAACTTCTCCTTCTCCTCATGAGTGACACTTCCCACGCCGTCAGGTCTAAAGTTGTTACTGTTGTAATCAATTAATCGGCATATTTCATTTCATCTACAGGGTTTTTCAAAACTGAGGTGAAATATTCAAATGGGCTATTCCTGAGGAAAAATCTTCATAAAAACGTATGTCCTGAATGTCTTGAATTTTGAGATAAAGCGTGTCAAAGTTCATCTTGAGTTTTTTTTAATTATCTCAAGAATTGCCCCTTCAAATATTTCACCTCACTTCTGAAATACCCTGTTTTTCTACATACCTGTTTCCGTGGACATGACTAGCGCAAAACGCAAAACTATAATGAATCAACGTAGGGTCTATCATCAAATTCTTCTCGGCCCTATCTAAGAGGTCCGATAAGTAACATAAATGCCTATAACATCCTCTCACGCCGTATCTGGCACAATATTCGTCCAAAACGAAAACCTGGCCAGGACTGAACCAACCCTGTAACAATACATTTTTGTTATACAAAATTCCAACTATCATGGATGGAGTGGGTAGGTTGGTAACTGAAAAAACTCCACGAACTACCATGTGCATTGAAATCCTCTATCTGTAGATATCCATGAGCATCTGATGCTGAAAAGCATTCTTGGAAGATATTTGTGATTTTATGTTCCTGAACGCGGTGATCGAATGCTCTGCCTCTTTGACCAACATATATGTATTAAAACCAGAATCACATTATCGTTACTATGAAGCTTGGTGGAGATATGATTGTGTTATAGTATTGTTTAACATATCTGTAAGATGGAGTAGGAACAGTATTCCAAAAGGTGGATGCTTGTGAAACACCGGCATTGATTGTTATGCAAATGAGTAATTGTTCAGGTAAGTCAGTTGCACAAGTTGTTACTTCCTGAAGAAGCTACTGTATTAGAATGGCTTCTTTTCAGGAATTTTGTGGAAATCATAACGTTTGTGGAGTTTTTCAATTATTTTTTTTTTCATTGTCACTCACCAAAGAACAGTATGGGTCATTGAGCCTGTACTCCAATGTAAAATTTTGCAACAGCTTAAACAAAGATGCATGATCGAACTGGCAAGGATCCGCTGATATGAAATCTTCCATCCCGTGCTTCCTAGCTCTATCAGCATCTGAAAATCTGTTCATATGAAAAGAATTGACCAACAGAGGCAGTAGTACATCTACACCACTATCGGACCAACCAATGGCCACGCATGCGCCGAAGTGTCACGCATACGCCGAAGCGTGAATAACGTCAACGCATGCATAACGTTCTCGGTCGATTGGTCTGAGAGCGGTAAAGTTGTACTACTAGAGACGCCAGAACATACCTCCTTGGATCTTCGATATGGTGGAATTCTTATCTTGGAGAGTCAATGGAGGTGTGGGCTTGTGTGACTGACCAGTTGCTCGATACATAGCCATCACCCACAGATGACATTCGTTCTCATCGTCGCTGGCGTATATTATACTGTCCCCCTCCTTCACAGCATTGAAAAAATATCTGCCGCCTTCCAGGTCTACAAACAAGTATTCGCATGTGAACATGCCCTTAAAACCCAGGCGACCAGATGACAAAGGATCAATGACGTCACTGTGACTCTTTTTCAGGATATGATGATCCCACCGCTAATCAAGTCGTCACTGTGACGTTTTATTCAGGAGGTGATGATCACACAGCCAATCAATTACGTCACAGTGACGTTTTTCTCAGGCCGTGATAATTATACACTGTAGAAAATTCCTTTGAGTGAATGCATATGTGGGCTGTGAGTGAATTTACTGATTGAAATTTTTGAGTGAATTCTCAACTCAAACTATATATTTCATCAAGTTTTCCTATCAATGAGAATGTTTATAACAAATTTGATTGAATCGGCTCATGAATTACCATTTTACACAGTCAAGTATATAGGGTGAAATTTCAACTCAATCGGGCGTGGACCGAAATTGACACATTATTTGCGTGGACCTTGAGTGAAATTTCACTCAATTTTGTTTTCAGTGTACCGATTATTAATGACGTCACTGTGACATTTTTTTATAGACTTGATAGTCACATCGACAATCAATGACATCACTGTCACGTGTTTTTTTCATGATGTGATCATCACACCGACAATCAACGACTTCAGTGTAAAGTTTTTCAATGAAGTTATGACCACATCGATGATCAATAACGTCAGGACGTGATAATGGTGACGTCGAAATCATAGTATCTTCGGGAGGAATACTTGGACATCGAATGAAGAAGAAAGTGATATCAGAGGAACTACTACTTTCAACTACGAAACAGCCAAAATGCTCAAGGTGGAATGAACGAAAAGAAGAAGGTCAAACTGTACTTCATTTTAATCCATAGATTTTCTTGCTCTTTTCAAAATATTTCTTATTGAATTTGGGATAATAAGCTCAGTGTTTGAAAAGGAATATTCTCAGATATAATTATGAAGATAAAAAAATGGATATATTTATGAAGAAATACATTGAGAACTCGCATTCTCCGTGTGATGAAAATCTCAATTCTCTCTCGGTCTATTCAACAGAAAACATGCCACGACGAACATCGTACTATATCTATTGAACACGCACGATAAGAATTTGAAAACAAAATATTCTGAAGTAGAGAATTTGCATTCTCCTTCAAAGATATGTACATAATTCTGAATATTCAACAGAAAACAACTACTTTCCTGGCTATTTGCCACGTCGAACATTGAATTATATCTGTTGAATATTCAAAAAGAGGGCATGAAAATTGAAAATCCTTTGAAATTGAGAATTGAAATTATTTCCCAAATCGGATGAAATAACATGATGTATTATGACTTACCTATATGTTCAGTATTGAAATGAAAATTTATAGGAGAAGGTATAAACTCTGAGCTTGATGAGCTTTGAACTTCCAAAAAAATCATTCGTATCAGTGATATATTGAAAGGAAGAAAGCTGAGTTATTTCCAAAAATATTCCTAAAATGATCAACAATGGTAGATGATGGAAGAAGAACAACTACTTTCTTCGCTATTGCCATGTAGAACACTGAATTACATTCTCCTAAAATCGATGCATCGATAAATACGTGTAGACGAATATTGTTGTTTTCATATTGTAGCCTGGTTACCGCTAGACACCTACAGATTGATGGTTTAGGGCGAAAATGATTAACAAATGCCCGAAATTACCAAACAAGACACGAAAATGGCCAGTATCATCAGATATCATTAGAGGCAGGTGCTGTATCTATCATGAACATGTCTGGAGGAAACATCAAGATGATATTTCGAAGTCACAGGTGAGTAAAATAAAGATTTAGGTGAGTGACTGACATATTGAACGCATGAACTCAATCATCTGCTAACGTTAAAGAACGTCAATGAAACGTCATTTGGTTGCCTGGGAAACAATCAGAACGAAGGTAACTTACGCTTACCCATTCCAACCATCAGGTTAGCTTGAAAAAATAGGATTATTCAAAAATCATTTTTGTTATGCCCTATGAGTCTCACCACTCGATGCCTCGATGTAGTCGACAGTGTATCCGTCCAGCTGCATCATCTCCGAGGGTTCAGACTTCTTCTCTTTGTAACTACACATCGCGAAGGTGTATTGGGATACTTGAACGAGGACGTAGTACCTCTTCTTCCATTTTTTCCACACACTCTTGCCGAGCGCATAGAGGTATCCGCAGTGTTTCATGTTCAAGGGTTTGTCCATTCTGCAGGCGATTTTTATCCTTAGCTCTTGGTCTGGGAGATTTTTTGGAACCACCATCTTGTGCCACTCAGGTGCCTAGATAAATTCAAAAGTTCATCGATCAGGTCTAAGCTACCAAGCGATGTTCCTAAGTTGAGCCACTATCATAGAAGTGGATGGACTAGATAGACACAGATCTATCAGACTATTACCACCGATAAAACAAGGCCGCAACAATACGATGTTAGCATCTCGTGACGTCACCTGCCGTAGGCGATTTGTTTTTTTTCGGAGAACTGGCAAAACTGTGACAATATATCTGAAAATTTCAAAGCGTAGAGGAGCTGATGTCTTTACCTCAATTTCCTAACTGAACATATCATGCATCCAAAGATGCAAAGTCACGTTCAAGTCTTGATGATACCCGAGTGACAGTCTCGGCAAAACCAATGGTTAATAGTTAACCTGAATTCGGGGCCGGGATTGGCGCAGTGGAAGAGCGTCCGTCTCACGACCGCAAGGTCGTGGGTTCAATTCCCAGCACGAGCAAGGAACTTTTTTCAATATTTCATTTACGAAGTAAATATTGTAAAGTTTCGGAGCATCGGCTGGGGATAGTCCTGCACGATCCGCTGTTGCGTTCCAATTAACAGTGCAGCTCCTAAAGTGGCGCATGGAGTTAGTAACAAAGCCTACACAGAACACGCAGAAAGATATGATGATCTGGTTGTGAGCATCAGAGAAGAAGTAGGACGGTGTATGTAGGTGGGCGTGGAAAACTACCAGCTGAGTACATTACTAGCCTACAAAACACAGCCGAAAAACTCTGAAAGAGAGCTGATGGGCGGTGCCTGAAAAGGATGTTAGGCAGCTCTCTTGAGCGAACCACATCAGTCATTGAAAACAATTGGGGTTTGCAAAAAGGTCCCATTAGGGAATAGTTGCTGACGTGAAAACGTCCTCCATCAGTACCAGTAACCTGAATTCAAATAAAATAACTAAAAATCATTCTGCTATACAGAATTTCAAGAGTTTCTAGTTTCAAAGTCCTCTCAGTTTCCCAAGAATGAGTTCAAAATTATCGATTTGCAGAAAGTTGCATTATGCAAATTGTCTCATTCTCATCTCTAAAATCACAAATCACTTGTTATCTTCAATAATATCAATCGAATCAAGAATTAATTTACTAAATAAATCTAGAAAATGTCTTGATGATCAGAAACTACGTTTCAAATTCATTGAAGTCTTCAATCTATTATCTTGATGATGATTCCGAATTGTTCATTTCTGAGCAAATAAAATTACAAAAGTCTTGCACAAAAAGATATCGTGATTCGAATAATAAGAGAAAATTCCAAAGAATCTGGAATAATGGAGATAATTCATTCTATAAGTCCACATACTTGCAAATTCTCCGGACATTCTGGAATGAAATGTTTTCCTAATCTCTTGGAGCGCACGAAAGGAAATTCCTATAATGTTCGTGGTTCGTGTTCGTACCTAGGAAAGATATGGAGAGGAGGTATGTGTTGGATTATTTTTTGAAGAAGGGCTCAGTTGACGACTGACATTCTCTTCTAACCAGAATACCTTCATAAAAACAGCAAGATCGGCTCATAAAAGTAGCTGAAACTGAAACTGAAATACACAGTCGCGCTTGATCATCTTGGGCCGTTGTTAGGCCTACCATCGTGACGTCAGCATAGAGAGTGCAGGCCTTGTACGTTACCCACGTGAACATAAGGCCAGAAGTCTCTGACGTAAACAGCTCGTGACGTCAACTAAGAGAGGCCACACACATTTTCTTTGGCGTGTCGGTTCGTCGTCAGCGTTGCCAGACCTACAATTTTAACAGTAGATCTACTGTTTTCGTCTCCGTTCTACTGTTCTACTGTTCAAGGCAATAGTCTGAATGGTCATGTTTTGATATGACATGACTACCTAATATGTAACAATGAATAATTAATGGGGCATCACAGTAAGAAGATGTATGATAAAAATATACTGGAATTATTATATTCAGTCTGATTGATAAAAGCCAGCTTTCATTTTCAATTTGGTTGTGGTTTTTAGAAATTTTATTTTAGATTTTATTATTTATATTTTTTGTTCGATTTTGATAGATTTAATTTTTTTTTCTGTTTATTATATAGGTTTCTTTGTTTTTTTTTATTTATAATAGCAAATTGTGATGATTTTTGGAATCTACTGTTCATTTGAGATGATCTACTGTTTTTTCCTCACCCATCTACTGCTCCGGCAAATCTGGCAACACTGCTCGTCGTCAGTTCGATCAGGTATGTTTGGGAAACGGTCGCGTACCGAATACTTTTATTGTTTATCCATCAGAATAATTGGCGGAAAAATTAGTGTTTTGGGAAATATTTTGTGTTGTGATAGGCAGAATAACAATGCCTTTCAAGTGTTGTGTTCCCTTTTGTACAGTAGTGAACAGAACTTGATTCATAATGATGAATTAATAATAGAAGACAATTACTCTCTCATGAAAAGTATGAGTAAAGGAAACTTACTCTATCCGCAAGCTTTGATTGTGCAGTTAGTTTTGTATTCGTATATTATATTCAACAAAATCATCTATGATTCCGAGGAAATATTCTTGAATGTTCATAATACACGGGCATTTTCAACTCAATACATTCTCAAATTTTTTTCTGAAAACGGTTATTTGCCTCGTGGCAATGAATGCAGAATTCATTCCAATGATCAAATAGCAACTATCATATTAACATGTACTACAAACACTCTACTTAAAAATTACTGTTTTAAGTCTAACGAGTTAAAAATCCAATAACAGGAAATTGAAAACACTCACTGGCTAATTTTTTAGGTAATAGGTATCCTCCAAGATGAATATAGGTACCTAATTATAACAAACGGCATGTCTATCAAAATAAAATACATTTTCCACAATTTTTTTTTTTCGATCAATCTCACGATAAGTTTATGTTCTGCGGGCCTTGTATTGTATAAGTTGGTGTGAAGTTTACCTCTAATGAGATTAAATCACTACAATTTTTGACAATATATTTGATTCGAATGGGTTGCTGTAGGTGTGTATTTGTGTTCTATTCTGGTTTTTGCTTTGAAACTTCGTTTTTCATGAATAAAATCGAATGGGATGCGAAGAAGGGCCCAGTCGACGACTGGCATCCTGTTTTAACCGGGAGCCCTTCAAAAAAACAGTGAATTGAAACACGCGGTCGCCTTATAGCGCCATAAGCGCTTATCGTTTCGAGCCGCTGGTTAGGCCTCACTAAGGTGACGTCACCAAGGAGGCTGCAGCCCTTATAGTCTCGATGTTAATGCCTTATATCGGTGGTAGCTAGCAAACACATCCGTAATATGTATACATCAACCGAAGACAACTTGTATTATCGCAAAATGACTAGGTCTTTCAATTCCATTTTTTCTCACCTTCGATGATAAGGGGGTAGGCTTCAGTGTGACTTTCCCTAGTTCTTTATCTTCTAATGCTAGCATTGCTGGATTTTCGGTGTATAATTTCACTTTCACAAACGGTAATGGATGAGTTGTACAAAAGTCTCCTTGTGTATCCCACATTGGTTTTGAGGCTTCTGCTTGATCTGTTTGCAACTTTTCTCCATTCTCAACTTCCATGGTACAATATACTATCCTATTTGGTGATAACGATTTCAATCCTCTCACTTCCATAACTATCACCTGAAATGTAGGAAACAAAAGGAAGTAGAAGTTCGTGATAGATCGAATATCAAATGAAAATAATTCAGTTAATGAATACAGAATAAGTGCAATTAGCTATACCACAGCAGTTTTTCGACAAGAGGTCGAATATAAATTTCATTCATCGATCGATAAATGCAAGAAATGAGCAACCAAACTCTGAGATCTTATCGAGAGAACACAACCCAAAAATACTAGACAAAACCATCACAAAAAATATAATTGCCATCTAATGTCTTTGGTTGATTTTCACACTCATTGCATGCCTTCTACTTTGTTATCCGTGATAATAACTTGCTATCAGCTTTGCTATTACAATTTTCGTCATCTGAAAAAAATAATGATGAAATATAATATCTAAGATAACAATAAACAATAAACAACAATAAACCAAGAATTAAAATAATCAATGTATGCGAGCAAGACGTTGTGGATGGTACACAGTTTATTTCCCAGTTAGCAAGTCAAAATTTTCCTGAGGACTTGGGAAATGACATGAGTGTTGTCCATAAGTTCAAGTCAACAAAAAACAATAGATGGAATGTAATAATCGAAATGTCAAGTACACAGTACGGGTTTTTGGCTAAAAATAAGGACAGAATATTCATAGGATGGTCTAGTTATAAATTCTTTGAGTTTGTTAGTGTTTTGCGATGTTTTAACTGTTGGAAATATGGACACCGTGCCGATAAGTGTAATTCGAATGTAGTTTGTCCCTATTGCAACAAAAATCATAGAAAAGAAGAATGTAAATGTACTGTATATGAATGTACAAACTGTAAGTACGCAGTCGATACTCTAAAGCTGAAAAATATTAATTATGATCACCGTGTATTCGATCCAAATTGCGAGAGTTACTTAAGACAGATTTCAAAAAATAAAGATAGAATTAGTTACCAATAGCAACCACAGGGTATTTCAAATGGTCTAGTATTATGTGTAAATATACAGGGCTTAACAACAAATTTTGTCCAATTAAGACAATTATTATTGGATGTCAAACCAGTTATTGTAGTAGTAACGGAAACCCATGTGACAGTTGATATTGCAGAATCTGAATATCATATAAAGGATTATAACTGTTCAATAACTCTTTCGGATAGTAGGCATACTGGGGGAGTAATATGTTATATAAGAAATCATATCAAATATGAGGAAGTGAAAAAAGTTAGTGTTTCCAAAGAGTATTGGTATATGCTGCTTGAGGTTACTATGAGTCATCAACATATGATAATAGGTGGTATGTACAGATCACCCAATGGCTGCAAATCTACTTTTCTAGATTGTTTTAATGACCTCCTTGAATATAATGTTTTGAGTACGAAGGACGTTATAATAATGGGTGATTTCAATATTGACCTTTTATCTTTAAATCCAAGCAGTACAAGGCTCATGGATATAGTACACTCATCTGGATTTCGACAAATTGTTAAACAACCAACAAGAGTCACTCGTGATTCCAGTACATTACTAGATTTGATTATTACTAATAACAAATTTCAAGAAGTTAAACGTGACTTTCCAAAGTTCACAGATCATGATATTATAGGAGTCGAAATTAATGTTCGTCCAAATAATAGCAGTAAGATGATCTACTCGAGATCCATCTCTAAGGAAAAAATGGACGACATTGTTATTGACTTGATCGAAAAAAATTGGGATTATACTTCCACTGATGTTGACGTCTTATACAATAGCTTCATAACCAATATTGAATCAAGTTTAGATAAAGTAGCGCCAATTGAAGCGAAGAAGATCTTCAATTCAAGTGGGTGGATTGATAATGAAGTCAGAGCTTTGCAGAAAGAGAGAGATAGGTGTTACAAAACGTTTCGCTATTCAAATGATCCATCAGATTTCGAAAAGTACAGAAAGAAGAGAAATCAAGTTGTATCTTTAATTAGGGTTAAAGAAAAAGAATTCTACGAAAGAGCCATTGATGAATGTAAAAATGATAGTAAAAAAATGTGGCAAACACTGAAGCAAATAGTGAATAATAAAAACAATAACTTCGACTTTAACTCGTTGGACCTAGGTACAGGAAGTGTCAAGGAAGAATTGAATAAGTTTTATTTTGATAGTATAAAGGAAATTTCTGAAAGCATACCTGATCCGACAAATTTTGGGGAAATTATAGTTGATGTAAATTCTAGTATTAACACGTTCCCTATCGTTTCTCTCAATAAATTACAGAAGATAGTAAATAATTTGAAAAATAAATCAACGGGTGATGATGTGCTGACAGTGTCATTATTAAAAAATATTTTTTCAGTGGTTGGGTATCCTCTACTGTATATCATAAATACGTGTTTGCAAAATGGTGTTTTACCAGCAGTCTTGAAGTGCAGCACAATAATACCTGTACCAAAGATAAATAAACCAAGTAAGCCCGAAGAGTTGAGACCCATAAATTTACTCCCAGTAATTGAGAAAATAATCGAAATTTTAGTGCATGAACAATTAGTGGAATATCTTAATGGAAATAATCTGCTGTTTGCATGTCAATCTGGGTTCCGGCATAATCATTCTACTGAGTCAGCTTGCCAATTGATGTGCAATAAGTGGAAAAAGCACATTGATGATGGCAAAATTGTCGTCAGTGTATTTGTAGACCTGAAACGAGCGTTCGAAACTATAGATAGGAAAAAATTGTTATTAAAATGTGAGGCATATGGAATAAAAGGCACAGTACTCAAATGGCTAACAAATTATCTCACAAATAGGCAACAAAAAACAAAAATTTATGGTAGTTATTCTGATGAGATAAGTAGTATCTACGGGGTTCCTCAAGGAAGTGTCCTTGGACCACTATTGTTTATACTATATATAAATGACCTACATCTTTATCTACAGAATTCATTTATAAATCTTTTTGCTGATGACACTCTGATTTCTATATCTGGAGAAAATTACAACAATATGGTTGAATCCATGAATAATGAGTTAGATATTTTGAATAGTTGGCTCAGGGCGAATAAACTTAAAATAAATGCTCAAAAAACAAAGTGTATGATATTAGGTAGCAAAATCAACTGTACTAAATTCAATCAAGGGAATTTCGTGCTAACGATTGATAATTCGGTGATAATGTATGTTAATGAGATAAAGTACCTCGGCATTCTTTTTGACCCTCAACTTAACTTTTCTGCGCATATCGATTTTTTGTGTAAAAAAATAGGAAAAAAAGTCGGACACTTTTATAGAATCTGTACAAGCCTTTCCCCGTGGTGTAGAAAAATTGTTTATAATACTATTATATTTCCACATTTTAATTACTGTATGTCTATACTCCTTTCCTGTTCCTCTACACAAATACATCGATTGCAGCTACTCCAGAATAAAGCAATGCGAATTCTTCTTCGTTGTAGCAGGTTTACTGCAGTAAATGATATGCTAAAGACCTTGAAATTTCTAAATATTTCCCAACTGATTGTAGAGTCGTCTTTGGTATTAATTTTTAAAATTGTCAATAAGCAAGCTCCTTCCTACTTGCGAAAATATATAATCAAAAGGGCAGATATGATACATTATAATTTGAGGTTCAATGATCAGTTCTACATACAAGGTTTCAACACAAATGCTTTGGAAAAAACTCTCTTCATTGAAGGTTTGAGAATGTATAACGATCTACCTCTTCTAGTTAAGACATCAGGAAATGTAAGAATTTTCAAAACAAGATTGAGAAAAATGTATTTTATTGTATAGATTATATTGTTTATGTGTGATATTATCGAATGTGTAATATTCATGTATGGTTATGTAATAGCTATCGATGCTAAATAAAGCTCTATTCTATTCTAATAAGTATCACAGTCTGCCAATAAGTAAAGGAAAACAAAAAAAGTAAGAGATAGTTGATAGTTTGAACCAATTGCGTTCCATCTTCAGAAGAATATAGAGTAGGTTTTCTGGAAGAGGTGTGGATGAAAAACTTGATGACTCACAAGCATTACTGAAAATAAGTTTTCAAAGATGGAATAAATAAAATGTGATGAGAACCTGTTTTCTAAAGCCTTGCTAAATTCATTCTCCATAATATTTACAAGTTCCTCAGCTGCTACATCACATCAAACACTAACTACGACTATCTACTCTTCTCGAACGAAAGTATCTCTGCAATCTGTCTTCTACAGGGATTTTCACAAAGTTACTTGTTCATGATCAACAGGGTTCGTTATTATTCAGGCAGGAGGTAGACTATGTGGTGTAGACATAAGGACTGCATATAATTATAGAGACATATATATAATCAAACATCTTCTGGGTCAGGCAGAGGAACATCAGTCACTGATAGTTCAAAATTGGTTACATTTTGGGTCCAAAATTATGGGCATTCCACTTCGACCTTTGTTATAGTCACAGAAACGATATACCTATATAGTTTATAAGAAGCCACAGTTACAAGTACATGTCTGTATAACTCTATAAACACTCTTTTTCTTCGGAAAAAACTAGTGGAATTTCTACGAATAGATCCGAAGCCCATTGGAGTCAGTTTTATGACTGATCAAGACTCACTTCAAGGCTACATGCATGAATTCCACTGACTGAGTAGTAGTAGATTCTCAGTTGAAATGACTTCGGATAGTAATTATTAAAGTAAAGGATATTTTGATGTTTTCAGAAATATATAGTTTTCAACCTAATGGCATTTTGTTATAAATCATCTTGCAAAAAATCAATTTGGTTTGACCTCGAAGATTACTCAATCTCAAGTACACAAAAAAGGATCATCTGGCGTTTACTTCTACGGATGATCACTTCAACCTAGAACTTTGACCTCACTTCGTTTATGAATTCTCTGTACACTCTATTCAAACTCTTGTTAATCTCTTCACGCTGTTCTGATTTGTTCTTAAAGTGATGCCAAGTAGTCAATAATAGACCTATATATGCATTTTCAGAGAAATATTGTGATTCCTAACATGGGTAAACCCTTGATAAAAATATTTCCAGTTCATATATAAGTATTTATACTGTCCTAATTTCAAACGACCTTGTACTTTCTAGATGCATTCGTCTCTTTGAGCTAAAAACATGGATCAGTTCGTGATACATTTAATTTGTGCCTTATTGCGATACACTGTTTGATAGTACATTCTCTATAACATAGTAAGTGACGCTGGATTTCAATGAATATTCACATTGGCAAAACGAGAATATGATCATCTTTCCACAAAGAAACTTTGACGTCATCGTCACGTCATAAGTCTTAGGTGGTTGTGGTATTTTCCCCAGTATTGAACAATCAGAGCGAAGCTCGACGCTTCCTCATGCTCCCCACTGCTGTCTTACTAGTTGTACTATAGTAGAAGGTTTCTGAGTGAATAGACCATATCATTCAATCCAAAGGTTAACACGAACTCAGACCTTCAGAATACGAAAATCTAAGTCGTTTTTCCATCCTGACGACGGTTCTTTTCTGCTAGAGAGTTCACTCTTGTAATCAGCAGAAAAATGTCCGTTATTACTACATCATTACGTCCACAATTAAAAAATCTATTCCGAAAGAAAACAAGTAGCTCAAAGTCGGTCGACCATACGTTATATAAAACAATCAATTAATACATGTTACCGGTTTCGGCGCAACACAGATTGATTGTTTTATATGAAGTGTGGTCGACTGACTTTGAACTACTCGTTTCTTGTTTCCTTTTGAAATTACTTTGGACCACTCTGAGGTATGGATGATTTTCATGAGCAAGAAATCTATTCATTCATATCGACTATACGCTTTCAGTACAGCTCCTTAGAGAGAGATGGCTTGATTTCTATTTTTTTTGTACTAAATGATATGACACTACTCATTCACTACGACAATAATACAATACATGCAACTGTGCATTATTTTTATAAAAAAGAAAATTGGGTGTTCGATACAAAACTCATAATTTTTCTCACCTCGAGTTGAAACGTCAAGACTACATCTAATTTAGTTAGTTGCGTATCACTATCTGCGGAATCTCCTTCCAGTTTCGCTAAAGATCCTTGCGATCTAAAAGAAGTAACATAATTCATCAACATGTGCTTCATATTATACCGATTATGATGGTTATGCAACCTGTGATTATAGCGTTTTAGTTTTTGCAACCCATATTTGGAATCCATCGATCCTTTCGAAACAGGCAGCGACTCCAAATTCGCCATCAATAAATTTATTGATGATTTTAGTTCTTCTATGTAGAGAGACTCCATTTCTTTCAATACGAACTTCGGCATTAATTTCCGGTTCTGAAAGTCAAAAATATCAGTATATCAACCACTAGTTGGGACTCTGCCTCAGATTATGGTACATAGAGTCAGATGTCAAACATATCCTTAGGAAAATTACCTCATTATACCTAGTCGAATTGAAGAATTGAAACGTCAAATGTTTATGTTATCAATCACTTCAAATATTTTAAATATCATTGTATATTTTTCAATTTTTTCTCAATACAATCATGTGTAACAATTAAGTTGACTTCTGCGCAAGATTAGGTGAAGAAAATGTATGATTTATCGACAAGAAATGAATCGTTTCATCAAACTTTATATCGAGCCATTGAAGGTTGAGTCCGTTCCTCATGAAAAAAGATGTTGAGAAAATGATTCATCGAAAACAAATGACTGTAGTAGGAAACTAACTAGAAAAAGTAGAATGAATGATATCCATTTCTTGACGACGGAATATACATTTTGTTCAACCCAATTTTACGCTGAAGATACATCATTGTATACAGAAAAGTATCTCTATGAAAGAATTCAAAAATAAATGATGCCATTTGAAAAAAAGATAACAATTGCCGTCGTTAGAGTTGAAATTGAAACAAGAAATTGTTAGTGTCACCTTGTAGTATCTGATGACATATTATTCCATTTGCATTTTTGTTCTTCAAAAACAGATAGTTAACAGCGGTGCTATGGCTTGGGGCGTTTTTTGTCAGTCATCACTGATGAAAATTTCTATTAACCATAGTTAGAAATCGATTTATTCCAGCAAGAAACTCTAATATAATAGGGAACAATCGAGTTATCGTCATTGATTACAAAGTCGACTTTGCTGATTATAACCTACCTGCGATCATCAGATATAGAACCTTGCTGCCACTAGCGAGTGCAACTGTTAATTGCCATCAGACGATGTTTCTGTAGTAGGTATACAACTTTGCAACCGCTAGTGAGTGCTTCTGATAATAGGAGTAGGGCAATTTTTTAATCATAGGTAGATACCTTGGCAATAGTCTTGGTGGGTTATCATATGGATAGTTACATGACCTTCTTTCTGTAGTTATCTAGTTATTTTCCAGGATTGTTGTCATGAAAGAAAGTGAAAGATATAATTTCCAGCCTGGTGTTTGGTATGAATAGCAATTTATTGATTCCTAAAGAAAATTTCGGACCAATGATCTTTGAAATTCAATAGATCAATTGATTCGTACTCACCCGAGTTGACGATATTAAAGTTCCATTGGACCAGGAAAGAGGAAATGGTGAATGTGAAATATTAATATTTTAATCAAAATACCTTAAATAGACTCAATTTTCTTAAACCATCAATCCTGGTAATGACTAATAATTCTATATTTGAATTCAGATTCAGATTCTAAATACTGAATTGGATTGAAGAGAGGAAGTATTCGTGTCTTCGTCGAGATCGTCGTCTTGTTCATGGGTTTGGCCAACTGGGAATGATTGAACATGTCTTTGGGACACAAGATGTCTGACAAATGCTTATAGTGGGGAACAATTAGCAAAATATCGAATAACGATAAGTAGGCGCAAAATAACCCCAAGTAGGTTCGTCAAATATTATTCTCGAGGCAGGCTGACAGTTGTATTATTTGCAGTGAGTGCAGTTTTATGCGATGAACCTTGCAGCCACAGGCATATAACTCACTAGTACTATACTTCAGTTAAACAATTATGAAAAAAATCATGCTGTCCCAGAGTGGCTGCCTGATAACGACAGCAGAATACCTACCTGTGGCAGAAAATTTACTTTTAGCAAAGTCGTTATTGTTATCATTGGATTTCAATGTGCTGCTTCTATTCGAAAATGTGGAACGGCAAAAGAATTTCGTGTAATGGTAGCAAGGAATATCTCAGTAAAAACTCTAATAGCACAATTTTGATCAGTACAGCCTGTATATATTGAACCATGAAGTATAAATTGATGCAAATATAAAAAATAGTACCTATAATATTATCACAACGACTTCATGACACAAATATTCTTACCTTCTCCATTTCAGCGACTTTTTGCATTCTTCCATCCAATTCTCTTCTTATCGCAGCTGCCTGTTCGTCAGCAGAATCGAGCTGGAAACGACTGAGGAATGATTTTCGGATTCTACGAAAAAAAATTGCAGAAACTTACGAGTAGTGCGTTGAATAGCAACTGGTGTTCGAATTTTTTCACGCCGAGAATTTGTTGAAACATGTCGTAGAGTTGCTCTTTTGATAAAATTAACTCGGAATTGAGGTTTTGTTGCATTCTAGACGGCCTTTTCGAATCTTCATCGGTTACTGGAATAAATCAAGGTGAGATAAGTAAGAACGTATGAATTTTATCACGAAAATAATCCGATGTGAGGTTATCATTGTTCGAGGAGTACAAGGAAATAGTATTTCTTGCTCAGTTGCCAATTCCTCTGTACCTAATTCGAAACACGAAATGGATTGGGAAAACATTTTCTTCATGGAAGTTGGTTCGACTAAGCAATTTAAAATAAAATTTCAAATTAGACCAACATACATTATGCGAAAGTGTGAGATCACAATCATTTTCCGAGGCATAGAGTTGAACTATTCAGTGTAATCTAAATTGAGATATCTTGGAGTTTCTTTCATTCTCGAATGAGATGTAGTACTAGCAAAGTTTGTCGGAATTCAATCCTTCGAGATAATAAAAACCAAGAAACAAGAAAGTTATATCTTCAGTAGCTGAATATGTTTGCCAATATGATTTTAACATTGAGTTACAACGCTTCAAATATTTGGTTTATAGAATCCCAAAGGCTTTCTACTAATTTCAGAACAGCATAATTTTTTGAGTAGGTACCTATCAGAATCTCTGATTTTCAGAAGAAGGTTCAGACTGTGAATTTGATAGCATCATAAAAGTAACATAAATCACCCGTTACATAAAAAGAAAATGATTTGTTACCTTCGAATTTTGATTATCTTCCATTCAGAACCCTGATGTTTGTGATTTAGAACCGAAACATTTGAGCAATGCTGGATGTTGACCCGAAGTGAGAGAAGAAGAATATCTGAAAATAAAATTCGATTTAGACATTGTTGCAAAATCTGAACAAACTTCAGGATTCTAGAACGTGTGAGGTGATTCGATTCTAATTGGAGATGATGAAGTAATATCGACTCGTTGTAACTGACTAGGATCACACTTTTGATAAATAATCCTCATAGGGATTTCAGAGCTCATAAACTATTTATTATGAAACCGGTCACTAAACGCAACATACAAAGTATATCCATAGTGTTTACACGATTTGTTCTTTTATGATTTTTTCAAATTCAGGGATACTTCAAGTGGAAGTATTATTCATGGCTATGTAGGAAATTGCTTTCATCCTTATAACCAACTTTCGGATTGTCCCGCAAAAGTTGTTCAATTTACGACTAATATGTTTGATGCAATATATATATATATATATAGAGTATCGATGCATCATGCTTGAGCAGTTGTTGAGAGTAATTGATTATGAATTTATTTACTGATCGAGGTAATGTGATGATTTGATGCCGTGTTGTGACGTGGACATCGTAGAATAATGTCGCCAAGACTTTCAAGACCTACAAAGACAGTCGATAGTGTCTGATGCCATAGAAATAACTATAGCAAGCCAACATTACCTAATGGCATTACATAAAATAATATTGCGAGAAGACCTAATGTTTCATTGCTCCAAGTGCATTGTTTTTCCTGAAACTGGCCACAGAAATAGTAACCATGTGTCGTATTTATTTCATCATCACACAGAAATGGAATGAGATCTAGAGCAAATATTCATCAGTTGTTCAAACTTTGTTTCGGCCTAGCACGTTCTACAATCCTTTGAAGATTGATCGATGTATATTGCAACATATATCTAATTGATTTCATTTTCAGATTTCCGATTTTTTGTGTCTGATTTACATTAGTATTTCGAATGGGAGACATTGAAACTATGGAAAAATAAAACAATAATTTCCATATAGGGAATGATTCGAGGTTTCTGGATTGTTTCAAATATGAAAATAGTATTTTTTTCGTGTTTTTTTTTCCAAAAATTCATCATCTACAAAGTGTCAGCCTTCTTGAACTACCAGGCCGTGCTGAATGGATTTGGTTACAGTGTCAATATAATGTGAGGTAGAAAGATAGGAGAAATCTTCTGAGTAATATGGTGTCGAAATAAAGTGAACAATGTGAGAAACGATCTAGTCATAATGAAAGTGTGTGCGAAATCCACCAGAGGAAGTTTATGAGTAGGGACGAGAATTCAATTTCAAAACCACTGTAATTTATGGACAGTGGCGTATTTTCAAATCTTATTATCGATTCTTCATCTGTGTTGTTAGAAAAACTTTGCAAAAGCGAATGGCGAGGTACATCTCGTCATCATGATTGAACAAAATTGCAGATAAGTCAAAACTCAATTTCTACCGTGTCATCTCCAAATGGTTCTGAAATTATTAATTCACTACATGGGCGTGAAGAACATTTTACCTAGATGGAAATGGAACAGTTATTTGGATTGTCATTTCCTCTGTTCATAAGTCTACATTAGTGTATTTTCAGTCTCATTCCGCTCATCAAATTGTGATACATAGTTGAATAGAGAATTTTAAGGCGAATAAAAAAGGCTACAGAAATATACAGGATGCTATATGAGAAAAAAGTTGGGTCTACTTCTGATCAAATAGGTGGTTGAAGAAAATTGTCGTTGGGTTCAAGGAGAGCGCCGTCATCAATAATATAACCCTTGTGTATAAGGAAATTATGGGCGCGCATCCCCTCAGGATCACTACTCTCGATTGAACATATTAAATTCAATATGTTGTAGAGAATTGCATTCACGAAGACATCTTGAATGGATTCTGATGATTTAAGAAATCTTTCGAGAAGGTAAATGAGAGAGAAAGAAAAAAATTCAAAACCTGTTATTGGTAGGTAGATTGAAACTGAAAATTAATGACGGTCCCAAATTTTTGCTTGTCCTACTATCTCACAAATGTGGAGCAGATCACATCTAGATTTGGTACAGGGTGCTATTTAAGTATGTGGCCAAACTTCGAGGAACGATTATTTGTATGATTGTAAGACGAAAAGTTCATGTAAACATAGGTCCAGAAATGCTTCGTTTACAACGTACATGGTGTCAAAGTTTCAATAAAAAAATCGTGTTTTCATTAACTACTCCAATTCCAATTAAAGTTGGTGATTTTGTTAACAGTATCAAGAAGCTCCTCTTGGTGTATTTAGATTCGGAATAATGATCCCAGTGGCGTCGCAGTGGGTTACCTTTTCGATATTTATGGGAAATAAGGTACCTACGTCATAGTTTTTTCCAAGTTCTATATCTTCATTAGATAAAACAATTGAAAATACAACTTTCTTGTCCCCTATTACATTTAAGTGTCTATATCACCTAGTTCCTGAGGAAATAATGGAAGCCCATACAGGTAATCATGGAAAACAACAATTGAATACTTCCAACTAACAAGTATCTTGAAAACGAGGCATCTCAGGACCTATGTTTATGAACTTTTCGTCTCAGAATCACCCGCCCCTTGAAGTTTGGCAACATACTTAAACAACACCCTGTATACCTTACCTTTCAATATACAGTCGAACTTTGCCATCCAGGAAGTGAACACAGTTTCTTTGCTAAGGCCTTCCATTTCTGGTAGAGACCTACAACAATAATACCATTTAGTACAGTTGTACTAATTCATAACAAGAAAAACTAGTGGAGGTAATTTATTCAGGAAACAAAAACGAGTGTTCTAATCAAATTATTGAAATAAACGAGTATTTTTTGATTCAGAACTAATATCTTATAAATTTCAGGAATATATAGTTGGTTGATTGAAAATGAAAGAACAGGAAAAGATTTTATCACAGTACAAAGAAGAATTCTCAGTTTTGGAAGACTCAAGGAGATCACTTGCATGAGCGAATGATACTGGCACTAATTTTGACTCAATCGATAAACACTACAAGTAGTTAGGTAGTACTCAACCATCTAATGCAACAGTAATAATGAAAGTACAGATTTTCACTCACCTTACTCGTTTTTCTATATTATTCCTAAAGATTTCCCTGAAATCATACTGCGAACAGGCACCAGATTGGACCATCTTGAGGACTCTTTCAGATTTCAAAAAAACATCATAATAATTTTGTACGGCATTTTGGAAGGCTTCGTCGGCCATTATTTGAGTTTCTCCTTTCAAAAAACACTAGAACAGAAAGATGGGACATACTTTTGTATCGCCCAAAAACACTAAAACCTATAAACAACAAATGGAAGGACAATATGTGAGGAACTTTTACGGTCAACAAGCAAACATCAAAATTGGTTAAGGCACCTGCGCAGTGTGTATCAACGTCCAGCACTGAATTTTTTCTATCTCTCTGACGAATGAAAATTCCTATGATGTTTGAAGAACACCGTATGTACCTAGGGAGAACAGGGAAAGGAGGTAGGTGTTGGAATTGTTTTCAACTTTTGGAGATTTTAAGTTCTTGGGAATACTTTCATCGGTAAAGGAATTCCATAGCTTCTGATAGACGAACGAGTTTAGGTAATTCGACATATTTCAATGAAGGGATATGCTGACTGGTCCTGTCGAATTTGTCTGACACCCCCTAACAACACAAGTTTGTACCTACGTCCCAGGGATATCCTTCATTTCCTATGGGGACGTCCTTGAAATATCCTGTGTCAGGACATATGGTTCATCCTAGGGACATCCCAGAAACATCTGCTTCCCAGAGAAAGGAACATCCTAGAGATGTTATTCTGGTACGTCCCTGGAATGTACCAAGTACGAAGAACGGATATCACTATGACGTCCCAAGGATATTCCAGGGATATTGCTTCGAAAAAAAAAGGTGGAGTTTGAATTTGAACCCGGGACCTTTAGGTTATCAGGCACGCACCTCACTTCATTCGCCAATATGCCTGCAGGTTATGTACAAAACAGATTCATGAAGAGGACCAAACTACAGAAACGTAAATAAATTCAACTTTGTTAGGATTTGGGTATGATTTTTATTATTCTTGGGTATTATGCATTATGCATTCACCAATTCTGTTCGCGAAATGGTAACTTCTTAAGAAGTTCTGAGAATATTCTTCATTTTCATTACAATTATATACCGGAAGAAAAACAAACAACATTTTCGAAATGAACTCAGAATGTTCAATGAATATTTTGATGAAATTCAATGACTCAGATGTGAATGGATTTCAGGTGAGTATTCCAGGGACACGAATAGGACAACCAGACGGGATGTCCTCTGGATTTCCCAATCATGTCCTCGTATCGCGGGACAAAAAAGGGATGTACTTAGGACATCCTTTTGTTGTTAGTGATGGAATAATTTCTGTGGAACATTTCCCGTGGAAGTAGCTATAGAAAAGTGAAAATGATGTGAAAGGATAATTGAGTATGGCATCACCCACCAGGCGAATGGCTGGTCTTTTGATGGAATCTAAGAGCATTAGCGTATGTTTGGGCACTGAACCACAGTATTCTAAAAATGGCCCTATCTGTGGTTTGGCATGAGAAGCTGTTGAGGTGTAAAGTAGATTTTCGCACCATATAAAAATCCGAATTCTCGTGAAGCAGCTTTCGCGATGGATCGGACATGCTCATGCTCATGAAAGAGTATTGCTCAAGGCAATACCGAGCATAGATATAGTGGTGAAAAGGAATATTCTCAGATGAATTATGGACTTACAAAAATGGATATATATATTCATATGAAGCATTACATTGAATGTCAATTTATCATACACCCAAAAGCAAATAGATATAGCCCTAACAACACGAGTACATCCTAGGGACTTCCCAGGGACGTCCCTAATTTCAAATAAGGACATCCCAGGGATATCTTTTCTGGGACAAAGTACATACTAGGGACGTCCCAGGGACATCCGCTTTCAGACAAAAAGGACATCCAAGGGATGTCCCTCCTGGTACGTCCCTGGGATGTACCGAGTACAAAGAAGGGATATTATTAATTCTCCGATATCCGAAAACGTACACGTGTTAATGTCGCTCTGTGTTTAAGTTGCAATCTAGAGGGAGATATTGTGCTATTTTTCTCGAACTTTTTCGTACATATCAATGATTTCTTCATCTTTGACTCAATAAAATCTTGATACAGTGCAGTGTGTGGTTGGTGACCTAATTGGTTAATTAGTTTCCGAAAACGTACATCGTTTATATCAAAATCGTTGACAAGAAAGTTGAAATAAAAACGGACCTAGTGAAAAAACTTATCTTATACAGAACAACTCAAGGGTATTAAAAAATATATTCCACTTCATTGATCTGAAATAGTGCCAGTGCCGTAGTATAACTGTTTTCTGCCAATTAATACACTGTTAATAATTATGACTGATATTCAGAACTTAACAGATTTATATGCTAAATTGTTGGAAGCAAATCAGAAGCAAACAGAGGAAATCAAAAAAGAAGTCAATATCATCTCGGGCAATCTCGTGGAACGTATTGAAGCTCTGGAAGAAAAAAATAAAACACTTCAAAATAAATATTTGAATGCTGAGAGAAAACTCAGAAGAAATAATATAGTTATATTTGGTCTTGATATCAAAGAGAGAAGTAATCTTCTGGAAGAAACGACTCAGTGCCTGAACTTCACCCCTGGACTGACGATTGAAAAAAGTGACATCAATCACTGTTACATGCTCGGAAAATCAACAAAATCACCTATAATCTTGGAATTTGTGTCGTTCTTCAAAAAGCAAGCACTTTTTGGCAATAAGGATATTCTGAAGGAGTTGAAGTTGAATGGAGTTTCAATTGCCAATGACCTGTGCCCAGAAGATCGTGAGGACCAAAAATACCTGGTGAAACACTTGAAAAAAGCAAAGGAGCAGAATTTAGATGCAAAAATCAGAGGTAATAAGCTTATTGTCTCTGATAAAGCTTACACTGTTTCTGATCTCCTAGAAAAAGATAAAGTGGAGCTCAACAGTGACCTTCAATACCTGGAGAATATTGAGATTGAAACTGAGGACGAAGAAAAGGTACCAGAAGAATCAGCTGAGGAAGACAGAAAAGATAACAGTGCAGCAGAATCAAGTGGGGAGCAAAAAAAAACCGGAAGAAAAAGAAGACAACTCAAAAGCCCTCCTCATTCTAATAAAACCAAATCCATTTGTATGAAAGGATATAAATAATTCATATTACAGCATTCACGTATTTTTTGTATTATCTTGTCAATAACTAATTATATTTCACTTTGTCACCTGGTTTTTCACCTTTCAAAATGAGGACTAAAGATATATCCATAGCTTTCATGAATGTGAGGTCCCTTGTGTGCCATCTCCGCGATGTCAAGGAGGTGGTGTTGAGAAGAGATTTTGATATAATTGGTATTTCAGAAACATGGCTCACCCAAATAATATCAAATTTCGATGTTAAAATTGATGGGTACAATTTAGTGAGAAGTGATAGGAATACAAGAGGTGGAGGTGTAGGTCTTTATATCAGATCCACTCTCAAGTACGAAGTTTTAGCCATACAATCGACGGATGACTTGGAACAAGTGTGGGTGAGTTTAAGCATAAATAAAAATAAATATTTGATTGGATCACTGTATCGCCCGCCTGATAGAAATCTCTCAGCTTTTTTGGATTTATTCGAGGATACGGTATCTATTGCAGCATCACTTGATTCTAAAATTATCTGTGGTGGGGATATAAATCTAAACATGCTAGATATAACTAATGAGAAATCTTCTCTTTTTTTGGATTTGCTGGAAACTTACAGCCTGAAGCAAATTGTTACAAAACCTACTAGACTAAATAGATTATTAGATGTTATAATAATATCTGATGAGTTAGAAGAAAAATTAGTAGATAATATTGATATTTCACATTTTTCCGATCATTATCTTGTCTTTTGTAAATTAGCACGGATGAGAACAGAGATAATAGAACAAACAATTAAATTTCGAAATCTGAAAGGAATTGATGCAGCATTTCTTCTTGAACTGTTCAGTCTAACGCCCTTTGATAACATCTTCTTATTTAACGACATCAATGAAAAAGTTTCACACTTCAATCAACTGTTACATACCTTATTCGATATAGTTGCTCCTTTAAAAACTCTGAATTTGAGGAAGCGTAAACCACCTTGGCTCACAGATAACGTAAAACTGATTATGAACTTGCGGAACAAGGCATTGCGGAAATTCAAAAAAAGCAAAAGTGAACATGATATGAACTATTATCGCACCCTTCGTAATCAAACCAATATCATGATAAGAAATGAAAAAAAAGGTTATTTGACTTATTGCATCAATAATAACAGTGGTAAGGATTTATGGAAAAAACTGAAGGATTTGAATATATATAAAAAAAACATGGCTGTCTTACCTGATACATTGAATGATCCGGAAAAAGTGAATGAACAATTTTTAAAACATACTGGTATAAGTACTATGCCTGAACCAGAACTTATCCATTTCTATGAAGATAATATTCTGAAAAACTTTGATGTTCCTTTCAATTTCAAAACAATCACTGAAAATGAAGTTTACAAGTATTTACTTGAAATAAAATCTAAAGCTACTGGATCAGATGACATAGGTATTGATCTGCTTTTGTTATGTTGTCCAAGTATACTACTATACTTGACACATATAATTAATACTTGTTTAGTCAATGCTGTAGTTCCTGATGAATGGAAAATTTCTAAGGTTATTCCGTTACCAAAAAAATCAGACGCATCAACATTTGATGATTTACGGCCAATAAGTATTTTGAATGTGTTATCAAAATTATTTGAAAAAATTGTTAATTCTCAAATTAAGGAACATTTGGATTATTTCAGTATCATTCCAATTCAACAATCAGGATTTCGTACGGGTTATAGTACTATTACTACATTACTTGCGGTAACTGATGATATTTTTCGGGAAGCAGATAAAGGAAAAGCAACGGCTTTGGTATTGATCGATTATTCAAAAGCATTTGATACGATCAACCATGAAATTCTTTTGTCAATTTTACATTTCATTGGATTTTCAGAAAGTGCATGTGAACTTATGAGAAATTACTTGTCGAACAGAAAACAATATGTTGAAACCGTAGTTGGACGCTCTGATATAAAGAGAGGGGTTCCACAAGGCTCGATTCTTGGCCCCCTGTTATTTTGTATTTATGTATGCCATATCACTAACGATTTAAGAAACTGTAAAA